TCATTTAGTCATTTTGAGGTAAATCCATTCAAGCAAGGACTATTAATATAAATATTTACATCACGACCCAATCAAAATATTGGCTCTGGATCAAGGATGACTATTTACTACATCAGGAACGCTTGTAAAGCAAAATGCAATTATACTGTGAAATAAATACAGTGGCGGCGATAAATAAAAGCGTATTCCGGCGTGTCGGACGAGGCAGCGTCATTTTATTTTCCCAGAGTTATTAATGGGAAAGCTACGCAAAGCATTGTGCAAGGTGCTGAAACACTATTTATATCCGGACGTTAAATGAATCATGTAACCGGATTCGACTGTTTATTGCACTAGTGAACGATGCACTTTTGCCATTTTTCCACACTGTTTGCTGTCGCAAAGACACCGGCAATAATTCAAAAGAATTGATCCACAAAGCTCGTCGCAACAAGCTTTTATGGCCTGCAGCTCTTGCGGATGAACCATCACGTATTTGGCACTCGAGTGTTCCATTTCAGTCTCATCCAGTGCAGGATTCGAATGATATATTGGCGGCTCGTGTAAACACTGTTGCTTCATTTGTACACAAATCGATCGTCGACTTGCTGGTTTCCTGCCAAATATGCCGCTTTTAGGCTTTGAAGTGCCATTAGCCACAAAACAAAGCTTCTGGAACGGAAGAGTCGTTGAAAAAGCTGTATCAAATGGAACAGTTGAATTTGGCGCCTGTTTAAAGATTCCTTTGAATTATTGTTTTTTTTGTTAATTGGCATGCTTGAGGGCTGGCAGCCGGCACTTGAAAGGCGCTGACACAAAGTTTACTGAAAATGAAAGAAACATTTTTTTGCGCGTGACGATTAGTTTATTCTGAACCATATTCTATGAATGAAACTAATGGGTTTTTCGGGTTTTTAGGCCGTCGTTCGGTAGAATTTCTTCCTGACGTTTCGCAAGCATGAGTGGCTTGCATCTTCAGAAGTGGTTTGCTTGAACGCTTACACTGTTTTCATCAGAACCCGATCAGTTATTCCGCAGTTAAAAACCTGCGATTTTTGAACTTCCTTCCTAACAAAAAGTCGGCTTAGCAAATCTAGGCAATTTCGAATCTTTGCCATCATCATCAGGGAAATTGCGACAACCTTTTT